TACAATTCTATTTAATCAACCTAAAGCGTAAGAAAATAGCTTTATCTACCTAATTAACTTCATGTAAGATTAATAACTCGTTACGACACTATTATTATTATTTATCTACAATTATGTCTACTTATTTAATACAAGTTATAAGAATAATTAGATTATTACACCATATTAGTTCGCGCTAATGTGGACATATAAATAACACGAGTGCGAGAAAGAGAGCGTATCTGCTCATTGTTCATCGCTCGAAAGGGAGAAAGATGGCATTATTACTGAAGTTATACTTGCTCGAGATTTTTCAATTTGTTCACGACAGTTTTAGTATCATTTAGAACATTTCAAAACCATTTAGAATTGTTTTAAGACCATTTAAAGCAGTTTTCAATGATCTGAGAACCCTTTGGAATTGTTCAAAATAATTTAGAGCAGATTCAGGACTAATTTAAAATGTTCTACTATAAACCAGAACACTCCAGAACTATTTAGAACGCTTTCAGGACTATTTAGAACTTTTTATAAACTATAAAATTGACTAACATAGAGAAATATTCCTAAAATTCTAAAAATTTATAATATACATTTCTCCTACAGCCGCAGGCCGACCCGGTATAGTAAAAATTGAACTTTCCGTTGACACGATCCCGATTGACCCGAAAATTTAAAATCTTCCTGCTCGAACGCTGAAATGTAAACAAAACTTCATTCATCTGGTCGCCGGGACGCCGACGCCGGCGCTTTGACACCCGCGTTGCCAATCCGTCGCGACGCCCACTCGACCACCGTCGCCTTCTACGAACACACACAATTCCTCTAACTCTAAACACTGCCCTAATTAAGACAACTTACCTCATATACACTCAAAGCACCCGTTAAATCAATTCCTTAAGCATCGAGTGTCGAGTTAAAGAGTAAAAATCCGGCAGGTTGTTGGTTGATGTTCGTGAATTTTGGATCGACGTGGCAACGCGGGGATAGGTAACACCAGCGTCCCGACGTCGCGACGTCTTCGAGTCTACGCAGTGCGTGAGGGTGGTCGTGCGAAGTGCGTATTTGAACACCCGATATGAACATACCGGGTCAACCCCAACCCCTAGCAGTTAGAATTTTCTGCTCTTCGGCCGGTACTGAAGGGGTACCGCGATAACATCGTGTGCTCGATGGGCGTGTGAGTTAATTATGTCGAGGTGGTGGTGATGAGCGCGAATTAGGGTGCAAACACCCTTAAGTGTTGAGCAACTAGTAGAACGAAATTACCCCCTTTTTTTTCGGCTATGTTCGGTATACTTTTGTTGTTGTTGTAGGGGATTTAATCGATTTTTATTAGACGAATAAGCACGTGTTCTCATTTACTACCGGGTCAAAGTTCAGCAGTAAATACCACTTGGATTAATTCGGTATTCGTTAAATTTTTTAGCTCGATCGATAAATATAAATATATGGAGCATCTTCAATTTATACCTACCGCATGATTAAAAGCAGAATTTACTACTGCTTGTAGATATAGATAAGAAATGGTATGAGGATAGATTAAACGTTAGCACGAATATATTATATGCTTTGCATGTTTTGCTGGACAACTTACAGCGTGCATATTATCGATTTAATACTATAACGTTTAGTATGACCGAGTTAGTACATTGGGTCATTCGATTTAATTAGATTTATTTATTCGTTAAAAGCTGGAATAATAGGAATATAATTTAGGGGCGAGTAAATCGGATTGGATTCGGGAAAACAAAACAAGCCAGCCCACCCACAGAAACCAATTTACTCGACCATTATGCGAGATAGCTCGCAGTGAATTATCCCCTATTCCCCGAAGGATGTTTACGCAACTATTTCAGGAATTGATATTCCTCGTCAAAGTCTGCTCGCGAGGGATGTCTCCCCTTTTTCCTGCCTCCGTTTCCACGAAAAACGAATGGAAATGATGAGACTTGCAACGACAATGACCAACTTTTCAACTCGATCAACTTAGCAACCGGTCGTTTGTTATTGATTTATGAAGGAAAAAGGGAGAACAACATTTTTGCATTCGGTGTTATTACATTTTTAGCTTATTGGAGTAGTAGATAAAGCACTAGAGAGGGGTAATTTCGTTGTTGTTTTTTCATTTAATCAGAACGAATAGTTTATAAGAAACCGTCCGAGGAAAATGTCCTGGTACAATGATTAGAAGAGGAGCGAAAGTAAGTACACAAAACCGGCCAATTATTTTCTAATCCGCGGTGATAGTTACATTGAAATGCAAATCGTTTCTGGTTTGGGTATTGAAGCGGTTCAGTCACGATTCGCGGCCTCCCCAATGGGGGGTGACGGAAGTCGAAACGTTCAACGTTCCCTCGGGATACTTCCACAATAAATTTTACCTCGAAATTAGCTCGGTTAAACGCAAGAAAAATAAATATATTCGTATAGAAATTACATGTATTTCTAGATTAAAAAGTTTGCTAATTTATCTTGGAGCGTTCCAAATAGTCCCGAATCTGTTCTGAATGATTGTGGACAGTTATAAATGGTTTTGAACTGTTTTGACTGGTCCTAATAAGTTCTAAATGATTCTAAAGCAAGTACACTTTCTGTGTATAATGCCATCTCTTTTCTTCTCGAGCAATATTAGAATGAGCAAGTACTCTCTGTCTCGCACTCGTGTTTTTCTTATGTCCACATCACCAACCCAATTGATATAAAAACTAGATGATAATGTGATAAATAACACCGTTACATACACTTGAAATGAACAATTAGATATTCACAAACACATGAAATTACATACTTAGTTAGATGCCGAACTCCCAATTTGGAACTTAATAACCCTGCGAGTCGGCGAGTGTGTGTATTCGGTAATTAATTTTCGTGAAACACAAATTCCATTTTCCATATTCGGGACGGATAATGGGCGCGTTGCATCAGAGGAAGTCTACATAGTATATAAGTACGGGCAGGTGTAATTTGGCGTAATGGAATAAGTCATTCTAATCCGCCGAAAAATCCGTAATAAATCTTGTTGCATAATTTAATTTAAAATACCTTATTGTTTTGTCGTTTTTTTTCTGACGATTCCAATTAAGTTTATCGCACGAGTATTTGCTGTTAATGAGTTCCACTCTTCGGGATCTCTTGGCATAATACCTATCACTTTCTAGATAATAACAGATTACGAAGATACATACTCGATTTTTGATTAATAATACTAAACACCTTTTGGGCGTGAACGTTTTACGATAAAAGCCTTCACAGGCTGTGCACAGTATATGTTATATTGATAAGTTGTTAAAATCGATATTTGATATACGACGTCCAAATGCATGTCGTAATATAATTACAAACAATTTCACGTGAGTCGGAACTCGGAAAGATTCGAAGGTTATCCTGCTCCCAGATCATTAAGTGATTGTAACGTCGAACGCTGGGAAAGAAAATTAGTTTACCCACGAAGTTTTCCTTCATAAAAGACCACAACTTCACCGCAAACGCGCCAATGCATCAAAAGTTTAGGTACATTCCCCTGAGTTTAATTTTAGGTCGTTTCTTTTTCTCTTCTTTTAGATAACAGAATAAGGGACATATGGCGTCTTGTTGGGATATTCAGTTCGTGATTTCGACAAGAAACGAAATAGCCCATCTGCCGGGATATTGAATTTCCGAGCAAATTACGGTTTGCTATGCAAATGGGGTTGGTTTGTTATAGAACAGAGGGTTGATTTTATAATAACACAAGTCCGAGTAAGAGAGTGTATGTAACCATTGTAATATCGCTCCAGAGGGAGCGAGTTGGCATTATAACTGAATGAGAATATTTAAAATTGTGTAGGAATCATCTAGAACAGCTTAAAATCATTTGAAAAGGATCATTTGAAAGAGTTTTAAGGATGATGCTAGAAATATTTAGAACAAATCCAAGACTCTATGAAAGCGTCCAGGACAATTTATAAAGATCCAGAACCATGTTAGAACGCTTTCAAAGCTATTTAGAATATTAAAGAATTTTTTATGTGAAAAATCGAGTAATTTATGCTTGTAGATTATTGAATAGAAAATGATAGATGTTAAGTAGATTCAGAAAATCCTTTAAATCCATCCTCAAGTCCCTCCACAAACTCCCCTAACCCTAAAGTGCTTGTGGAAAATATTAGAGCTATTTGGATAATGAACTGAAGAATGCGGATAATCCATCATTTTCTTTATTCCATATCCTAGTTAACTCCCTCTGTATTGAATCGGGGTAGCTCATCCCCCACATACCGTGCAACTCCACAGTTGCGTGCACATACAAACACCATCATCATCTTTCAATGGTAAATTTTTCTTACCTAGTTAGCCGAAGCGGAGTCTCTCACGGTACGCCTTTTTAATAGAAACGTTTCAGAACTGGACGAACGGCTTCTTGAATTAACCCGAAAGTTGAACAATGGCGCGTCATAGCTCAGACTGTCAAACGTCGACGTGTAAGGATTATTCCGCGTCCGAATGGACGCGCTTTATCGTCTGTCTTGTTGCGTTTAGCTCGGCTTGTAATCGATTTCCCAGATAAACGTTCATACTTCGTACGATTTAGGTTAAAGAGAAATATTGCGATTAGAGCGAAAAGTTCTTCGATAGAAACGACTCTTTCGGCATGTAATTGGTTTATTGCGCTCTCTAAAAAAAACATCGATCAATCAGCGACGGCTGCAACTTTGTAAACGTTGTTGGAGGTGTTAAGTATAGTAATATTAATCAATTGTTAATCGAATGAACGACAGATATTTCGAATTTCCGGGCGTTTTTTTTTATTCCTTCCATCGTAACGTTATTAATTTCATAACCTCGAGCGTTCGCGCGTCAACAACCCGACGCGCAACAAACGAAATTAATCTCAATGCGAGAGCCGTAATTACGCGATACTTAATTCTAATCGTTGCGTTTATCGTCCATTATTTTTTTCTTCTCTTTTCACAACCAAACGCCACAAACTCCGAATGAAAGCGGCGATTTTCTATAACGATTTAATCGCCTTGTTGCAGGTTACGCCGACGTCGACGCGAGCGCTCACCTACGACGAGGAATCGTGGAAACAATCCCCCGAAGATTCCCTCGCCGACGACCGAACCTCCCTCAAATCGACCGAGCAGAGCAAAACCAATCGGGTGAAGAACTACATCAAGAAATGCAAGAACGCCTTGAGCACCAGCAAATCGGCCAGCGTCGATCTATCGAGCGCCTCCAGCTCTTGGTACGACGACGACAAATCCGCCTCTAATGTCAGAACGCACGAAACCAACGAATTGGAGGACGTCTTCGAGGAGGCGCAGGTGCGCCTCGACGTCGGATCCGGCACGAGCTTCTTCCAAGTGGCCAACGTGGTCGAAGTGAAAATCCAACACGCCGACGAGCATTCCGATGCTCTGGAGGAACTGGTCGAATCGGTCGTTTGCGAAGAACCAACGGACACCTCCGCTATCTTGAACGAAACGCAAGATCAGAAGGACGGTAGATCCGAAGGTGGAGGAGGCGAAAATTTGGGGTTTCCTGATGATGGAGAAGCCGTACCGTTGGTAAGCTAACCAAGTTTAGTTTATAGATATTCCTACTAGTTTTACACAGCTCAGTTTACCGTCCGATTAAACTTATACAGCTCAGTTTACCGTCCGACTAAACTGCATCTCAGTTTACCGTCCGATTAAGCGTCTATAGCTCAGTTTGCCGTCCGATTGCTTTCATACAGCTCTGTTTTCTATCGGAAAATAATAGAATGGACCATAGGTACTTATTTGTTCTAGAATAGTTAGAAGAATGTTAAAATAGCGCAAAATGGAAGAAGGTGAAAGTGCTTCTGAATCCCTTTAGTCGAGTCAACATGTACATGCGAGACTTCCGGGCTTAGAATCGACCTTTGGCCCGACGTTTAACTGCCGTTCGGTCGCGACTGCTCGATGACATTTTGATAGTTTCTGCCGGCCCTATAAGGGCATTTAATAAGGAAGTCGTTAAGATGTTTTACTTCAATTCTTCGGTCGACTTTAAACAGCGTATCGTGTAATTCGGATTCCATTGCCTACGCTTTTTCGCGCGTTTAATTAAACGGTGCTTTGTTTGAATTTGAATTTGAATTTAAATTCAGGTTAAATTATTACCATTAAGGTTTAAAATTTTTCGGAATTACGAGGTACGCAATAATGCCATAATGCACGTAACGGTACGTTATTTTCTATATGGGATTGTTAGTAAAAGTGATATATCGCGTGGTTTTAGTCACGATGATCATTATTATTTAGTGTATCAATTGTGCCATTTTCCGATGTCTTTGTGTTCTATTCCTCGTGCCGCGGGTGCTATTTTCGGTTCCGGCACATGATGAATGTTTTCATTCGATTCGACGAGAAAAGTTTCAAATAACGAAACAGTTATGTACCCGTGCGTTCAAATTATTCATTAATAACCCGACAATTCTATGTAGAAAAAATGTACCTGCGAAAGGTGTAAATTTGTACATAAAAATAACGCGAGATCAAAGTAAAATGAACCGACTAACGTGCCTGTGTGTAGTGAAACGAAATCTAAACGAGAAATCTCGTATGAGTTACGTTCTTTTTCTTTCAATTCAACGAACGAGAAATTATTTATTATTTGACAATGCCCGTCTAATTACGATTTTCAATTTCGCATGCACAATTCCTCGACCAAATATAGCTATCTGAACTGAGAAGCAATTCATCCATGGAGCCGATAATTGCCGTTTTGAACAATTAATGGTCGATGTAACCCTAATGTTCAAAAGCTTTCACTGCAAGGTCAACGCATTATCTAGTTGAAGGTGTTAAATATTAAGGTCAAATATTCCAAAAAAATGGAATAACACACAACAATTGTCACCAGAAAAGCGACGAGAAAGGAAAGAAAGATCACTTTTTTTAATGGAATTAGCACTTTATTAAAGAGCAATTTCGTAAAATATTAAAAAACCAAATCATTGGAATTAATAACTCAACCTCATTTAGTTTTAATAACCCAAACTAGGCTAATGTTTGCGATCAGTCGAAAATCTGGGTAACGAAATTAAAGGTACTTACTTAGACAAACTAAAATATTGCATCACCAGCATGGTGTATTAAGCAATTAGCACCTCAACAACACACAATATAATTATTGTACGCTTATTTGCTTCCATACTACAAAAATAAGGCGTAAATTCTCGACTGTAAAATGGAATAGAAAGAAAATTTGCATTATTGGAAACATCCAGGTAACCCGGAAGAAATCCTGCACCTTATATACCTTACTCTACATGTTCCGGAACGCGATTCGTGTTCGAGCATTCATCAATGCAAATTATTATTAATATGAGAACATTTCGCAGCGCTCATGGGATAAAGTTATTCTACCGGCCGAAGAAAACGAACTTGTTCAGGTGTGGTTAAGTGGTTTTCTTACATATATACAATCGACTTTTGTAGTTAATAAAGAAACGAACTGTTGGGTCGTATAACGTACGGTTTCTTTCTAAGAACTGTTTTGAAATACCATATATCAGTGGAACGATAATAATCGGTACACTCGAGTTCGTTATTTATCAATACCACTATACAACTCGATCATTCAAGATGATTCATTAATTATGCAGAGAGAAATATCGAAAAATCAAAACAAATCTATCGATTTATTGTATTCAATATTGACAAATTGACTGATATTCGCTGCCTAGTTGCTGTTGATAAAAACAAGAATTTTCGTGTTGATTCGTGCTGGTTGTTCCGGCCTCCGCCTATGCAAGGATTTAGAGAAATCCTCCGAACAATCGGAACACAAACGGCACGAATTCGCAGCCCTGGCGGCCATCGAGAAAATACGAAATTGCGATGGGATCTCCGCCGGACGGATATCATTCCGAATTATTATTGATAACAATAATAACGAGGTATAAATTTCGCATGGGAAGGATTTGGGACGGAAAGGAATTCGTCGAGTCGTAGATGAATATGAGCGATTGCGAGGCGAAAGTTTTTCGATTAAATTTAACGAAAAATCGACGAAGGCGCTTTCGATTTTCTAATAGGAAATTAATCATGGAAATTGGAAAATTAATTTATGGCTATTCGCACCTGCGCTGATTAGAACGGGACTAATACAATGCTCGCGCAAAGAAGCACCAAATATTTATTTCCTGCTAAGCGACCGATGATTTCTAATGGGTTCGTTCGTCAATATTTGCTTCTAGAGTGTTAATTGACATGATAGATTCAAGTTCAATGTTACAGGTATTAGAGTTGGACGACTTACTTGTTCCGTAACGTTCGTTCTAATCTCGCAATCATCGAGAAACGCGCCCATCCCATCTCTATTCCAAAGCGGCTAATGCATTATTATGTCATAGACGGCGTTGGAAGTAGGATTATTACAATTATGGTAACGTGTTATTATTTAGGTTAACCTACTCTCGAAACTAGTTTCGTTTAATTTCAACCATCTTTGACGCTAATGTTATTCATAAACCTTACCAGTACGCTCGCAATAAGACCCCGATCCTCGTTTTGTAAATGTGCGCTTTAAATTTGCGCATTTCTACCAAAAAAACCCTGTCATTTGTCACTTGTCACTTGTCATTTGTCATCTGCCATATGTCTCTTGTCGTTGATTTTGTGCTCTTATTGGGGGCGAATAGTTCAGCAGCAGAAGTATATGAGAAAAGTGTGCAATAAGAAGAATTGTGTATACACTTATAGAGTAAATGTTAACGCGCATAAACGACACCTAAACTCGTTAGAGTAGAAACGGGACAAAGCAAATCGATCGGCAATTATACGAGTGCATTCGAATTAATTATGCAACGGCTGCGTTTCGTTAATTAAGATCGAGCGAATCGATTATGCAGGAACAAAGCGCGTTTTCAGACGATCGAAATTACAAAAACACCTCGATATAATTTTATTATGAATCACCGACGGTAATTTTTCGAGTGCATTTGAGTGCAGTTTTTAGATCGCGAATGATTTATACACCGAGCGTTTTGTCAGATAAGGTTACCGTTCTTTTTAATTAATAACAAATTGCGACCACCGTCGCTCGAGTACTTGTGTAACATGCATCACGACTTCAAATTTTATAGCGAGGAAACAATGTGTCCGATAGATTATTACGATTGCTGCAAGAAATTATAAAAGATAAATAAGTATCTGGTTGTGTGTGTACGCGAGTTACATGGACTTTCTTTCCACGCTTTTCGATCGCGACTCCATAAAATGCGCGCATAATGAATCGTGGAAGTGATATACTGTGCAGTACAGACGACAGGAATTAATACGGGTATCGTGACGAAAAGGAATTGTTAGATAATAATTCCTTGAGCGCGGACGAAATTTAATTTTCCTGGCATCGCTATAAATTCCCTATGGAGCCTGGAATTTTGTGAACACTTCACATGTGAAGCGTAACGACGGAATTGGATAAAAAAAAGGATTAAATAGCGTAATTTATGTGGTACCTACTGGAAATGTTAAAATGGTAAAGTAAATTAAATGTTGGGATAAAGAAAATGTACAAGGTGATTCTCATGTTAGAGGTTTCGGAAACTTTTTTTTCCTCACAAAATAAACTCATAAAAAATACCAAATATTTACTCTTATTTACTACAATCCATATGCTCGGCATTTTCTACATACCGACATTTTCCCCAACTTTTACTTTCTCCCTACTTTTACAACCAATTTCTTTATATCACACATAACAGCGATTACAAATGCATTTAATATCTATCGCGTAACGATAAGCATCAAAAGTAAAACCGAAAACGCGTGATTGACTGATAGACACAAACTTCGGTTTCGTTGATGCGAACTCGCCTATACATGATTCTTCACGGCTGTTCGAAAAATTGACGAACGAAAGAGAAAACCCAATGGCAAATACGAATTCGAACGTCAAAATATTTTTGTACGCCTAGTCGAAAATAAAAAAAATAACTCGAATAAAACCGTATCGTGGCTAAAGAGTTAGGAAAGTAGGTTTTATTTGTTTATAAGTGTAAATATTGCTTACTGCTAAATTAAATATTTAAATGTAGACGTTTTAAGGTCAGGAATTACTCGGTTTTTTTATTATGTTTGTTCAACTATTCCTTGCTCTTAACAAGACTTGTTTTTGATGCTAAAAATTGTCTTCTGTGTGGGGTAACATTCATATATAGTGAGCGGAAATTGGTCCATACAATGGCACACTCTTTATTCTATCCGAATGTAAAGGAAGAGGGAACCGAAGCGACAGCGACATCGTCCAATTAAGTTTTATTGTAGCTTTTACGATCTGTCTATGTTCGTTACGTCAAATATTAAAAGCCCTATTTAGTTACACTGTAAAGATTAGAATCATGCGTTTCGGGTGTTACGAGTAGATGCATTTAGTGTAAATAATTTCATATCCTGTGAATGTTTCCTTTCATAGGAAACCGAATGCAGGCAGCTTTAAGCGGAAAAATAAGTCGGGTGAATTCGCTTCGTGTCCGCATAAAGTGACTTTCTTTTTCAATTTTTCGAATTTCACTTTCCCAGTTCACCGCTAAATTGTCTTTTCAACTATCTATAATTTTCTGTAATACATTAAATTATCTTAATTCCCGCATTAGGTCAAACACAACATTAAATTTCGATGCTTTAGATACCGTTTAAGATAAGTACGCTATTTGATTATGTTTACCAGCCCGTAGCGATTCCAGTAAATGATATATCGACTAATAGACAATAAATATGGGTATATAAACAAAAACGCCTGTCTCTAGGCGAAACGAAAATGTACCGGATGAAAACAGAAGTCCAAACGGGGCTTTCTTTTTCGACTCACACAAAACCGAGTTGTATAAATGCCTTCAACTTAAAATTCAACTCGAAATTATTCTAAACAATCCACCGGCGTTGTTATTACTCGACTAACAGACGCCTGTATACACCCAATAAGATTAGTATAATGTAATAACAGCGTAACTGAAACTGGTGCGCCTGTTCCCTGTGATTTCTTCGATGCGATCGATGCGATTAGAAAAAATCTCCGGAAGCAGATTTCCATCTAAGCAACGTCAACAGCATCATCATCATCATCGTCTGTTGATATGATCTGGTCGGGCCGGGGGCGAGAAATTCGATTCGTCGCCGGTGCACAGAGAATATTGCAATTCCACTAACAAAGAAATTGCATAATTTAATGCTTTATTTACTCGAGAATGGGAGTTTATATTTTTATAGCGTATAGGTGTAGTTGTGGATGCTTAACGAGGCGCGGTTGTTTATTTTTCGCTTTTATATTTATAGCGAGTATTAAAAGTTTATTAGGTGTTTATGCAAATTGTTTATTGACACTGTTTGATCGAGCTAATAAAGTGGGAATTTTGAATTACCTGTACCTGATGTCTAATTATGGCGTCGTCTAAATTCAATTCGATCCGGATCTGGGCGCTTTTAGTGCCGATAAAATATAATTTAATGTGTAAAATGGTACGGTGTAACCGGAGCGATTAATCTCGTCGGTTTTGGGTTTATTGGTGTTGTGATAAGGGCGTGGTGAATTTTCTCCAGTTAGGTGTATGATGGATGCGAGTTAATAATAGGACAGCGTTTGGCAAAAACCGCTATTTTGGTAATTACCGGTTAATATTTTACTATAAGTACACAATTTTTCAATTATCCACCTACTTGTAGTAAGTGCAGTTAAATAGCGGAGGAATTTTTTTAATCTACACCAACGATTGATGATCAATTCAAGCCTCTTTAAATGACTTAATTTTTTAATTATCCTATTAATAACGATTTTTTTTGAGACTTAAATTACACCTTGTCGTTCTATTTAAATTTTTTCGTCGATCCCATGCACTTGACCCTTTTCAAATTACATAATAAGGAGTAATAAAAAAGAAAATCTCAGTCGTATATTATGCGCGAATCGCGACTTGTCCCATAAATTTTCGACCGGTCCAGGACCGGATCCAACCTGCCTTTTACACAATTAACCACTGCAATAATTACTCCGCGTTTTTTTTCTCATTATTACTAACAAATGTTATCCGTCTCAAAACTCGAGCTTTCTCCTTCTTTAAGTTATCGATTTAATTCGACGCACAATGACCATAGAGAGCCATTGCGGAATTCTGTTTAATTGTACTAATTTATAACTATTGTTGGACACGTCAAAATTGACGTCGCAATTTCTCCATATTTTTATATTCGAAACCAGATTGATAGGAAATCGCCGAGTGAAAGTATCAAATATACAGGGAGTTGGTTTAAATCACGGGTTGCTGATAACGTCGAGTCCTTGCAAGAGTTATTTCAGCATTTTCATAAAACCCACAAGGAGGTCACTGGGTTAGATCGCAGGCTTAGGAAATTACAAGCGCTCTTTCGGCTCGCCGGTCATCCGAATAGGAAGAGGACACTTTATTTTATTTATTTTACGATCGCTTTTAAGGCAATTAATTATATTGAAACGTGTGAAAGATCTTATCGACGCGACGAGCCTCAAAATTTCTGGCCGAAATTCTGGAAACACCTTATCCTGTAAATTTTTCATTCACATCACAATCGCAGGCAGGAAAAAACGAAGATAATCCCACAAACAGTAGTCATCATACCAAACATGGCGTTGGATTCAAATTTAATAAGATGGAGTTCTTAAGGCGCGTCAACACTTGATTTAAATTTTTGTGTTTTTTTTAAATGAATTATTAATGGTTAATGCAAATTTATAGTGGAGTAAAACGTGGCGTAAAAACGAGTAGAAAATTGGAACGTTTTAGTGGGTGAGTGTTTTCATTTCGAACTGATTTATGAAGGTTCGTTTGGTGTGTGTTGACCTTTAGATTTTTTTGGGCACAGCCGGTGAATTCGTCGAATTAAGTTTTAAGAGCGCGTGGGCGTGCAGGCCGCGTAATCGGTCATCGATGCACATTTTGCATCTGTTGAATGTCGAATTTTCGAAGCGAAAAAGGCGTGTCGCGGCCGAATTACAATATATCAAAGATTAGAAGAGAAGAAACATAATATAAAATAATTAAAATAACGAAAATTCGGACGGTTAGAAAGCCAAAAAATGCCAATATCCCACCGATTAAATCCCACGCGAAATCCAATCCGACGTTTACTAAAAAACAACCTCTTCACCCTAATAATAAACACACCCCGCCCAACTCACCCTCATCCACGCTATAGATTTCCCCTATGTAACATTAACTAACTGTAACTCGGTTTAATAGGCAAAAAAACCACCTCATCAACTACTTATTGTAATCGACGGGCATTAGTACGAGCAATGTAAATACATAAATTTCACGTCCGGACGTCCCATGAGACACCGAACAATATAAGACGAACGATTTCCTTATTTGATTTTCCATAATAAATAATTAAAAGGGTTACACATGCGTGCCTAGCCGCAATTTATGACTACTGCATTTGATTTAATAATTCAATTTACCGCTACTGGTTTATTAAAATTGTTTTTAATGCATGCAAGGGGTAGTTTAGTTACTAAGCTTCCTCGCTACTCATATATTTAGTGGAATTATGAAGTTTTCTTGTGGCATTACAGATGCCCATTACTAACTTAAAAAACTTGCAATGAAAACAATAAACATTCGCACCGACCCTCGTATTTTAATTAGGTTATATTTAGCGTTAAATTGCGCTTTGTTCCAGATCAAAAGCGACGTGGAGAGCTTGGTCGACAAATACTTCGGAGGTTTGTACAAGAATTACGAACGTTCCAGAAAATGTTTGGTGAGGCAAGCCAGAGACGTGCTCGTCTGCGAATACCACGGCTGTTTGCTGAAATTCGAGCAGGAGTTTTGCACGCAAGCCGAGAAACTCCTGCGACATATTAAGGTTAGTGATTATCCCAATGAAAAAGTATTTCTTCTAATTACTGCTCCATTACTCTATCTTACTATTACGTTATTTTTTATATCTAAATGAACGATCGTGGAGCGAACGCGCCTACGTTCGTAAGTCAAAATAGCTTTAAAAAAAACTTGACGGATGTGTTTTCGTTTCGATTCGATCCCGGACGGTTTTTTTTTCACGTAACATATCGATGTGTTTACAAACTCATTTCAATTAAAATTAAAAAAGATAAGCCGAGTGCAACAGAAACGCTGGCATATCTGGGATCTAGATGCTCGGTCTAGATAGTGGCTCTTTCGGTTTTTCTCCATTAGGAGCTTTCTTAATCGCCGACGAAAATATCGAGAAAAGTGAAAGTGATTTTTTAAGTGTATAGACGAAGCTTAAAAAATAGATGAATTAATTAATACGGAGTAAACTGTGTGTTTTTTTTTTCGTTTCAAATCGATTCCTATTTATAATTCAAGTTCTACAAATAGCCGCTTTGCTACTTACACGTTATAACCAGTTAGTAGATGCAAAGTAATCTTAATAATATGAAAATTGATGCGAAATGTTTCTTTATGTTAAATTCTCCTTCTGCAAGGTTATTTTTCAATTACTTTAATCGACTACCGTTAGATTAATAATAGTAATTCATCATCTACCTTATCATATGATATACCTGCAGCTAATTAAAATAATTACCAATACCTTCCTTATCAACCAAAAAAATATAGGTAGATAATATGCTTCATTCTCGACTTTCATAACACAAGAAATTTTAATACACACAAAAATAAATAACATAAAAAAGGTTACCTACACTACTTATTATTTACAATCATCTAGAATTACATTGAAAAATCCAAAGACAGCGTCTATAAATAATTCAAAACGCTACAATCACCAACCCGCCCCTTTCTAATTCCAACTGTATCCGATAAATCAAACAGCTAATATACACTTAAAGACGGTAATTAATAAATATACTTTGATTAGTTTCTTAATTACGCATCAAAGATAAGCGAAGGTGTGTCCTACTCGTCCAGGAATGGAGGTTTCCAGTTTAATTGTAACGAAACAAATTCGCTCTAAAACGAACGATTATTCCTTTATTACCACTTCTTTGGGCTTTTTCAACATCAGGCAAACGGTGCGCAGAATTAAAGAAGTAGGCAATAAATCACGGAGTGATTAAATGTGTTTTACATTCAATTAGCAAATATTTGCATTTTGCAACCTAATTTTTGTGACCCTCAGTACGCCAAAAACCTTTCGGAAAACGAAACAAGGTTAGGACATTATGCGAGTTACATTACGAGTCTAATCGTTACCAATTATATTAGAATAACCGAAACCCAATTAAATTAAACGTTTTTTTTCTTTACTAATAATTACGAACAATGGACGAATTAAAGGAGCAAACGAAACGAAACGTCAATTAAAACTGAGAGTTTTGAGAGTCGAGCAATTCACGCTGTAAACGCTTGTAAACCGAGGCGGCTCGCCCACAAACGGAATACCGAACTCATCAAATCGGGACAATGTTTCTTTTATGAAAGGTTTTTGAATGGGCCGCGGTTTTTTGAATGGTCGATTGGGCTATTGTTTGGTACTCGGGTCCATCTTCACCCTTAATCCCGGCTAATTTCCATCGCGCAAACAGTAAAATTGTTTGTACACTCACAAACGAGGCCAGATGGAAAATACTGTAAAAATTAGAAAGCTCGTAAGCATAAAAATTATGGTTATATATTCGAATGTAATAAAAAATAAAAAAGCTCCGTGTAATTACCAAAATCTAAACACCTACATAACGCCTAGAAAGAGGTTTACAGAGCTACGAACATCATTAACAACTCGTACGCAATAATAATAAAAATCTTATTTTTTTTGACGGCCGTTTTTAATGAGTCTCCCAATATCACACACACAAACTCACATCTCGATATAATCACAATAAATTCGAGTCAACTCGACGATTTTCACTTAATTACCGAAATACTTTCACATAACTAATTTTTGCCGCGGACGTTGGAAAAAAAATAGTGAATGTGTTTTGCTTTCGTTTAACTTTGACCTCGATCATCTTCGATTGTGCTTGGCGGGTACGCCCATGCCCGGGAGAAAATTCGGTTTCACCTAAGGGTGTTAAACCAAATAACGAGTCTCCGATTTAATTGAATAAATTGACCCGATACTCGACGATTGCGTAATTAGAATCGATAAAAGTGAAAGAATTAACGGCCTAGACCCCGTACCTATTCGCAATAATTTTGAAATTATTGAGAAAATTTTTAGATATTACAGAAGAATACTTTTGATGTAATGAGTGCGAGCCACATCTGTTAACGAATTAATAAACAACATAATCGTTTTGCATATTTTAAGTACCTATCGCAGAAGCGATTAACATTATTACCGGTTCCGTATCGATAAAGGCATTCCGGTAAAAATACATATGGGAATATTAACGTGGTATCGAATTAACGAAGTTGTCGTAATGGGAATTATGTCAATTACTTTGAGAATTAATACGGGCCGGTTAATATCTGTCGATAATATTCATGATTATTGCACTGCCCAAGGAAACACGTTTATGTTCTAATTATATTTTCGCTCTTCTCGTAAATCGAACGTTTTCGTCCGAATTCCCACGTTATAACGCGAAAATTCGGATTTTACATGCGAATATTATGACTTAATTGGGCGATGTAATAAATAATTAACGCGGATTTGAGCGTTAATTAACTTTTCACGAGCAACTGAACACTTTCGGAAGCGTTTCGTTTCTACACAGATAATTAAAACGCATGCACGAAGCATTTCACCCCGCCTCGTTTTATAACGCAAGAATTTCAAAAATATAGAGACACCCATTTAAGGCATTACTCTCTTAACCTCGATGTTGGATTGAAGAAGAATCGAAGATAATTCCGAATGCGCCGCGGGCTTGACAAACGTTGTAATTGCCTAGATTCCATCCAACAACTGGACGTTTCCGTATAGCTTTCGAGTTCATCGAAGTCTTCGTTACGCAATTCCCACAGAACATCCCCTTACCTGAAACGTTTTCACGCCATAAACTCGCACCGCGGGAAACAATAGGCGCACTGTCTGCGTGCAGGTGATGCTGATTTACTCGCTCGACTCGACAGTTTTTGTAAATGGTTTTACGACAAGGGTAGATAAAGTTTTCTAGGAAGTTTAATGAGCGCCTCCGTTGGGCGACCACCCATCGTCCACGTCGGGTTTTATTTGTCATAATTTTATTTATATACCTACAGACTGGAGAGGATAGCTTGAAACGCATGCGCTTACACTTGCGCGCAATTGTGGGTATGTACATATTCCTTTTATACAAAAGGAATGGACTGCGGTATTAATTACGTAAATTGAACGAAAACCAGCAGAAAGAACAATAAAATGCGACTTGCAAGCATTAAAAAAACAGATTGTTATTTAAATTGGATCGGAGCGGATACATAACTTTCGACTTTAGTGCCCGTAATTCAATTAATAAAAACAATAATGATTTCAATTAGAGAATGCAGTTAAACTGTTCACCAGCTGACCGCGTTAAACGGTCAATTGGCAATAATTTAATTGTTGTTGTTAAATCGACTTAATACAATTGGTGTTATTGGCCGAAGGGAAAAAAAAAACTTTCATTCTCGCCGAAGTTACTCCAAATATTTTCATTTCCCGCATAGTCGCTAATTCTATCTCCGACTGTTCGGCTGTTTATTTTGATTTCCATTGAAAGTTTCCCTTGTATAAACAGCAATTTAATTCGAGTGCAATTTAATCAAAGAAAAACTCCTTTAATGCAATTATTTTCCTATGAATTTGATCTCTTTATAGGAAACTAAATCGATGTATAATAGTGAATTATTCATGCGTGATTGATATTTAATAAAGCTTCGAGTTTTTTGCGGGAAATATTTATTAATCTCCACTCCATAGGTAAGTTTTCACGCGGAACACAAACAGTAAATCCACCTCATAACAAAGTTAACGATTTAAATTTTCATTCGAAACGCAAACACACCGCACCGAATGATGGATAGGAAACTAAATATAACTTCATCTCGGCAGTTTTTCATTGCCTATTATATTATCAAAAGATGATTTATAAATCCATCATTAATATTAAGTACCCATGGTTCGCTCTTGCTTTGTAATTACGCTTTACAATGTCGTTTTTTTGCGAGAAAACGCTAATGGCATAGGAGTTGCAATCATTACAGTCATTATACTCCGTTTTTTGTCAGTGTATTTGCAGCAAAACGAGTCTATGCTAATATGCATATATTCACATCACTCGCAAAAGAAGTGTTAATTAATTACATACATGTAAATACGAGCTACTTTATGTAAGTGCATTATTATAGAAGCTCAAAATGAAGGGCTTATTAAAGGGTATATTAAAAGATGCAAGAGAAAAAGTTGCAAGCTGCAAGAGAACTGTTCTGATACTGTAAGAGAGGAACTATTAAAGTACATCTTGAAGAAAACTCTTGGTACTTTTGCGGCAAATTTTCCATGTAAAATTTCCCGTGCACCTTAATCATCGGTATTGAGCAAGGGATCCAAGTGTCTGTGGCAGTTTCCCGATTTTCCTGCGACGGTCGTGCATATCGCGGGGGAGAAGCGAGTCGCGCCGAGTGCATTCACATTCACCCGACCATCCTGCTGATCGGATCGCTCGAACCGGGTCCGGAGAAGCACAAGCTCGAAACTCGAAACTCGATTGTCGAGCGGACTCCTAGCGGGCTCGAAGAGAGGATTATTACTGCTCCGTACGTCGGAGGAAAAGCACGGGCGGTCGCGATACCGCTGCCGATACAACGCCGGGTCGCGAGATTTATGCGAGTGCAATCCTGCGAGTCCTGCGATTGCAGTTGCGGTGGATTTTGATCGAACCGTGTGGTTTTTATTATTCGGCGTTTGATAGTAGTTTTTGTGGCGTGAATTGAGTGATTTTAACGTGCGAAAGG